TTATTTAATAATTACAAACGTTTCGAGACCATGATACACTGAAGATGAGGCATCCCTTGGTCTCGAAACGTCTGTAATTATTAAAAAGTGTGTGTTAAAAATCTTAGTGTTGTATTGTTCATATTTAACATTTAATATATGTATATATAAGGATGGTCCTAATATGGACATTTTCGAATTTTCTTGCTCCCAAGGCCCAAATGGTTCCAAATTGATAAAAAAATTCTCTGAAAGTTTTAGCTCTTAATATTGTCTTTTAGATAGAGGCAATTCAATCAAAGTTTTGTATGAAAACAGCATGAAAAATTTCTCAAAAATTTTGCAGAGCGTTGAATTTTCAATAAAAAATAACACGAGTTTTCACTTTTAATTCATTTGTCGCTATAATTTATACCTAAAAATTTTTTTTTGTAATTTTCAAAATTTTTTCCATGCTATTTCCATACAGAGTTTGATTGAATTGCGCACTATCTAAAAGTTAATATTAAGAGATAAAAATTTCAGAGAATTGTTTTTTATCCCTTTATTAAGGACCATCCTAGTATATATATATACGTGTGTGTGTAAACTAAATTTAAAAGAATATAATTTTATGAATATGAGCACATAGCACTTTTTTGCTTTATTAAATTATAGAGTTTCTCACATTTTGAGGCTGTTATTTTTCTCATCAGCAGTGTAAACATCAATAATATATTTTAATTATATATAGACATGAAAATCTTCAATTATTGTCTTGTGTAGATAGTACGACAGTAACAATCAACACTAGACAATGTTGGAAGATTTCGTTTTCACATATAATTGAAATGATTTATTCAGAACTCTGATGATAAGGTAAATCATAGTCTTGTAATATTTGTGAAAATAATATTGTTAAATAAAATATTACAAAAACAGTATACTGTGTTAGATATAAATTTTATAGTTGAGTTTTATTAAAATTGAAATGATTCAAATCGGTGTTTGCCGTTTACGGGAAAGAGTCGAGAAGAAAAATTTATTACATAAATATATATAATAATATACAAGCTTACATAATTTTCTGAATTTTGTGCCAAATGATTCAGAATGAAATGAATTGAGAACAATTGAATTTGCAAATCGGATTCTCAGTTGAGACCCACTTCTCCTTCGAATTAAAAATAAAACTAGTGGGGCGCATGGCATCGTGCCTTAAGGCAAATTGCTGGAACTTCCCGTACCAAAAATTATTTTTTTTTAAAAAGATTAACATTTTTGAAAAAAAAATTACTCTGAAAAAATTAGATTTTTGAGAATCTATAAATTTTTGACAAAAATGTACTTTTTTGAAAAAAAAAGACTTTTTGAAGAAAAATTTATTTTGAAATATTTTGGAAATTTTGAACTTGGATACTGCATAGAAACAAAATATCAAAGCGCGTAAGCGCCGCGTCCCTGTCTAACGGCTAAACATTGGTACGGAATCCATAGGATTGTAAACAAAATTTATACTTATTGTTAAAATCTCTATAAAATATCTGATAATTTGATGTGCATATGTCTAATGATCATTTTTGACCGCTAATTCCTTTTTTTACTAGATCTCCGAAACCGCTAGACCTGCCTTCATGAAAATTTGATCAGTTTTTCATCTTATTACAAGTAAAATGTCATTCAAATCGGACGCTCCGTTCTCTTAAAAACTGAGTTACCGTTTTTGACACTATTTGCCCCATATTTTCGGAACGGCTAGACCTGCTTTTGCCAAAAACTAATCAGCACGTCTCTTTATCAATACGAATCGAATGTTTTTTGAATTATTCACATCGCTTCATCCGTGTTTCCGAAATCGTCGACGAAAATTTGTATCCAAACACACACACATACACGCACACACACACATACATCCATTTTTTCTAAGGTATGCCAAATGTTCAGAATGTTTTGAAACGTAAAGATATATAAAAATTTTCATTTTCAATTTTTTTTCGATTACTATAACTTGCCCTACGGAAAGTTAACAAATACCTATCTAGTAAGAAAGTACTCAATAAGAATAAAAATTATTACTCATATCTCTAACATTGACAAATTCCTCTCCAATCCTCTATCGCATACCCTTCCACGGCGATGCGAAGACCCATCCGACACGGCTCTACGTCGCTCCAAACGCCACAATGCAAAACCGTAGCGCCTGAATAGGAAGAATGGACGAATGAGGGTAGCTCCCGCCTCATACTTCGGCTTCGGGATAACTCAAAATCGTATGTGTGTCTGTAGGAAAGGGTGGCGGGTGTCTCCTGATGAAATTCAGAACCGGATTAGTGAAAAAATGTCAATATAAAATGCCGAAATAATAGTTTCGTGTATGTTAAAGTATATGTTATTTATACCTCAATGGGCCCTGAATAAGGGATAATGGTGATGAGATTGCTTGGTACTCTGCGCTGGATGACTTTAATTCGTTCATGGGTCAAGGTGAGGGTTGTTCATGAGTGTCTGCTGATAAAATTTAGAACTGGGCTATTAGAAGAATTTAAAAAAAAATATATAATTATACACATTTGTATTAAATCGAAGTTATGTTATTAAGTACTATACCTTTGATTAATAACAATGCATGTGCAATATGAAGTGTCTATCTCAGGCGTCACCTAATAAAAATGAAGATATTTTTAATTTTTATATTCATTTAAAACTTGCATGGTTCATAGCGAAGAATTTCTGATATGCCAACAATAATAATTATTAATAAATTACGTACGGTAATTAAATCAAATTAAAAGTTTGGCAATTATGTATTCAAAACTACATTTTTATTGCATACGAACCTATGAGTCTAAAGCATACCATGGTATACTAATTTCAAATAATTATTTTTCAAGTTTTTACTTTTGAGGGCTATGGTCACACTATATTTAAATGTATATATATATATATATATATATATATATATATATATATATATTAGGGTGGTCCTTAATATGGACATTTTCGAATTTCCTTGCTCCCAAAGGCTCAAATGGTTCGAAATTGATAAAAAACAATTCTCTGAAAGTTTTAGCTCTTAATATTAACGTTTAGATAGAGCGCAATTCAATCTAAGTTTTGTATGAAAATAGCATGGAAAATTTTTCGAAAATTTTAAAAATGTTTTTTAGATGTAATTTAGCGAACAAATGAATGAATAAAACTCATTCATTTGTCGCTAAGTTATATGTAAAACTTTTTTTTTAATTTTCAAAATTTTTTCCATGCTATTTGCATACGAAGTTTGATTGAATTGCGCTCTATCTAAACGTTAATATTAGCAGCTAAAACTTCCAGAGAATTGTTTTTTATCAATTTGGAACCATTTGAGCCCTTGGGAGCAGGGAAATTCGAAAATGACCATATTGAGGACCACCCTAATATATATTTGTATAGTAGTATTTCAAATTTATCTCTTAGTTTAATTTCTCACCATATTTCCAAGTCTGTGATCTTGCTTGAAACTGCTTATTGTTGAGACCATCTTTCTAACGCGATCCACTCTAAATCTGAAAAAAAAACATTTATTGATGAATCAATAATTATTTAATTTTAAATTTAGTTAGGTACTCACCACATTTCCGAGTGTGCGATCCTGCTTCAAGTTTTTCAGTAACGACCCATCTAAAATTTACATTTACAATTTTAATTTCTCATTGTACTTGTAAGTTTGTTCTTGTTTCAAATTGCTTACTATTTATAAGTTTATCAAAGAATTTATAATTATTGAGTTCTATTTTCTCAATCTTATAAGTACTATTAATTTTAAAGGTCTACCCTCCTACGCATTGTGACGCATGTATGTTTAATATTGTTTTTTATATTGTTAGTATTTTATTATTATAAATACTGATAATCTTTTTGAACAGTAGAATACTATTAGCGTAAATCAAAGTCTATATTATACCAAAATAATGCATTCAAAAACCAGCTTCAAAAAAATATTTTAATATTATTTCAAATAATTATCTTTAATTGCAACATTTCGATTTTAAAATCTTTTTACTTAAAAATCTTTCTATTATATAAAATGCAGTCCCGACTGTTTGAATAAGGAAATTGAAAATCCTGAATCAATGATGTTGAATTTCAACAATGCGGTTTGTCTACCGAAAATCAATATCATTCCATTCTTTATCTATATATACGATAATGATGGAATCTACAAAAAGAATCATTTAAAAGGCATTGTATTAACAAGTTCAGCCCGGCCTGTTCGACAGGAGTGTTCTGTATGAAAGGACGATATTACGTCATAGAATAGGGGATTCTACAATGAACGGTGCCGTTGAGTGATCTATTATTGTTAAACAATTGACGATGAATTTCGATTTTCCGTTCCTGCCGCACAGAAGGAAATTTATGGAGTTAGAGGAAGCGCGATATGACGATATCTTCACTTGTTCGGAATATTCAGAAAGACCAAACGGATTTCAACAATAGACCCATGCAAAAACACGAGACCGTTCATAATGTGTGTTCGAAAACTCGCGTTGACCGAGCCACTGGATTAAATCAATCTTGTGGTGGTGGCGCTGGCGGCGGAAAGTAAAAAAGCAATTGAATGTATTAAAATTCTTATTATAAATATATTGATTTCAGCCAAAAGCGTTAAACAGAACTGTAGTAATTATTACGTAAAACGAACGTTTAAATATCTCTCAAGAGTTAAGAAAAGTGATACTGGCACATACGTTTATCGAGCAGATTCAAATTTCAATTTTCAAAAATGTATAATTTGATTGCATTGAATTAGATTGAATATATGAGTTTTCAATAATAAGTGAAAAGCTCTATGAGTTAAAAGTATTTGGATTATATTATAGCATTATACTATTAATTCATACTTTTATACATAGGAATCGTATCCTAGTACTAAAATAAATGTATATAAAAATAATCTTGTATTTCAATATTTTACAAACTAAAAGTCAGGGTCGCTAAAGTACTAATATAAATAAAATTTAACCGTCACAATCAAAATATTAATATATAGCTAAGAAAAATTAATATTCGCCTTCGCCTTCCGCTTCTCCTTCTCCCGAATCCATTCCCACTTCTTCATAATCCTTCTCCAGGCCTGCCAAATCTTCTCGGGCTTCGGCAAATTCTCCTTCCTCCATACCCTCGCCGACGTACCAGTGGACAAACGCACGCTTTGCGTACATGAGATCGAACTTATGATCTAATCTTGCCCATGCCTCCGCTATGGCCGTGGTATTGGAAAGCATGCACACTGCCCTTTGCACTTTAGCTAAATCGCCACCCGGAACGACCGTCGGCGGCTGATAGTTCAAACCTACTTTGAATCCAGTGGGACACCAATCCACGAACTGAATGCTTCGTTTTGATTTGATAGTGGCTATCGTTGCATTCACATCCTTAGGCACGACATCTCCACGAAACAGCAAGCAGCACGCCATATATTTTCCATGCCTGGGATCGCATTTGACCAGTTGGTTAGCCGGTTCGAAACAGGCGCTAGTTATTTCACTTGTGTCCAGAATTTCGTGATAAGCTTTCTCAGCCGATATCACAGGGGCATATGTGGACAGTGGGAAGTGAATTCGTGGATAAGGCACCAAGTTTGTTTGGAATTCAGTGAAATCTACGTTCACGGCACCATCGAATCGCAAAGACGCCGTAATTGAAGAAACAACTTGCCCGAGAAGTCGATTCAAGTTGGTGTATGTTGGTCTTTCAATATCGAGGTTTCTTCTGCATACATCATACAATGCTTCATTGTCGATTATGAAACCGCAATCGCAAAGCTCCATAGTTGAATGACAAGCCAAGATGGAGTTATACGGTTCTACGACGGCTGTGCAGATCTGTGGGCAAGGATAAATAGAGAAGGCGAGCTTACTTTTCTTTCCGTAGTCCACAGCAAGACGTTCCATCATGAGGGATACAAATCCCGAACCAGTGCCGCCCCCAAATGAATGGAAAATTAGAAAACCTTGCATACCAGCGCATTGATCGGCTAATTTTCTTAAGCGATCGAGAACTAAATCCATCATTTCTTTGCCGACTGTGTAATGACCGCGGGCGTAGTTATTTGCAGCATCCTCTTTGCCTGTTCATTAAAATAATTAATTTTGTTTAATACACTAATCGTACTCTGTAAAACTAAAAATCTTACCTGTAATGAGTGTTTCTGGGTGAAACAGTTGTCTGTAGGTTCCCGTCCGCACTTCATCAACTACCGTCGGTTCCAAATCCATGAGGACCGCTCGTGGCACGTGCTTTCCTGCTCCTGTCTCGCTGAAAAATGTACTGAAAGAGTCATCTCCTCCTCCCACAGTTTTATCTGAAGGCATTTGTCCATCCGGCTGAATTCCATGTTCCAGGCAATATAATTCCCAACACGCATTTCCAATCTGAACGCCTCCCTGGCCGACGTGTACTGATAAAACCTCTCGCTGAAAAAAAGTAAAATTTATAAACAAAAATAGTTGACACATCATGAATCAACTGTCAACATAGCAAAAATTTACAAAAATTTAAAAAATATTTCATCATTTCAATATATTACAAGTACTTACCATGTTGAAAAAAGTTATATATATAATTATATTAAAAATAGGAAAAATTTAAAAGATTATAGTAAAACGTTTTTCTTAATAAAAAATCAGTTCATACAAACATAAAAATTATAAAACCGCTGGCGATTGTTTCTGGCAACAGCCTTCTACAAAACCTTTATAATAAAAAATGATACTAGATGTCATACAGTATATTGTTTTTTTTTAAAAGAAAATATGAAAGATAAGTTTTATTAATATATTTTGTACAAACAGTTTTGGGTCAATTTCTATTTCAAAACTTTTCAATACTGTATTCTAAAACACCTTGTGTCTTTGAGCTAATTATTTAACTACATGCCAAAGGGATGTAGGTGAAGCTATTATTTTTTATTTATATAAAGAAAATTAGTTATATTCTTTTATTTAATTATTTAAATCGAAGAATTAAGATATTCACGGTTGAATTTGATTATATATTCTTGGAACAACTCAAAGTAGCAGTAATCTAATGTAAAGGCTACGAAAGCTACGATATTGTGAATTTGCGACTAGCATATTGGGCAGCTAATTACAATTTAGAAATAGCCTATGGCAAATTTGAACTATTCACACACGTATATTGATTTTCAAGAAGTTTAAGAAATGCACATTTGTTTATATAATAATTCATTAATTAACATAATGTACTGTTTATGTTTTTTCAGGAATTGTGTGTAAATTAATATTATTTTGTTAGGAATATAGAAATCGAATAAGAGGCAGTTTGAAACTATACGCACAAAATATTAGGTCGATTTTCTTATAATTCAAGATATGTTACATTTCGTACATAACATTTTACTTTCTCTTTCTTTATATAAAATAAAGTAAACAAATAATGAATAAAGAGGGAAATGCGAAAAGATCTCCTTTTTTGCGTTGCATATAATCAGCTTATATAACTGCAACGGAGTAAACGTAAATTAATAATATGTTGTTTTACATTCCTGGAAACATGAACAATGCCCTTTTCTGCTTGAACACGCTGTACGCGAGTTCTACGCTCTGGCACTGCATTGTGTTCTACTCTGTATGCTCAGCACTTTGTCCTGTTTATTATTGTTTCTATTATACACCACGTCCTATTCATTAAATTGTCCTTATTGTCTAGATTTTCTCGATTGTTTACTATTATTTCTTTCGCGAAAAGGAATTATGTTGCAAACGGTTTTTTAAGAAGCGAACCAATTTTCTTGACGCGACAAGTTCCAGTATGCGGGAACTAGATGAAGACGAATGTCAATGCCAAGTTGGTATCAAGAAGTAGCAGCACGATTTTATGTATTTGATAGAAATTGGTACTAAATATTCATATAATGGTATGAAAATCATCTTATTGCCAAGAAATCAACAGATTCCCGTTTATTTATTATTATATTGCAATGAGTTTTAGAAGAAGTAGATCAATTCACTTGACAATTTACTTGATCTCACATTTAGAGAAATGCTAGATGAAGACGAATCTTACTACTGCTAAGTGAAAGAGCTACCAAGAAATAGCAGCACGAGTTTATGTAATTATTAAAAGTTATTTAGCATAGACTAACTGAACCCACAATAATTCTATAAAAGTAATCTTAGGGTCAAAAGATTTTATAGATCGTTCACAATTTCACTTACGAATTTGATTACTTACGATTTACGAACTTCACTGTTAAGTTGAAAATGGATCAAGAAACAACATCATTTAATATGGTTATTAATTATTATTTATATTAGCCTACACCAAATAATTCCATATGAAAATAACAGCGTCGAAATGAGATATTATGTTGTTCGTTTTTTTTTTAAATATAGTAAAAATCTTTTGCATATTAATGAAATTATATATTGAGGAGAGTTCTGCTAATCCAATAGATCTGGTTACATTAAGTGTGGTTATTTTTATTTTTTAGTTTATATATTTTTAATTCATTTATATAGATTTACAGGATTTTAAAGAATTAAATTGATGAGAGTTCACAGCTTTTAAAGATAAACAAAATCAAAATACAAATACAACAAATAATGCTTAAATAATTTATTATCTTGATGTTGCAAGGCTTGATGTTTCTTTTTTATTAAGAGATTCTTCAAGAGATGAAGGTCTTGCATATCCATGGGTTTTCTGAACTTCTTTTTCATTCAGCTTTTCTGAAAAAACAAAGAGTACTATTAAAGATGAAGAATATATTTTGAATTTAAGATACCTGGTTATAATTGAAAATAGCTATATTAATGAGACATCATAAGTAATTAGTAAAAAGAAATAAGTTTATGGAAATTCCCTCCATAGTAATACCGTATTCTTTGAAGTCAAAATTTGCTATAAGAGGAAATGTCATGAAAGCTGTCTGATTTATAGAAATTTAATCAGAGCTCTGTAGAATTTGTGATTTAGTTGACGTACTTGAAAAAGTTATAAGTTAAATACCAGATCCATTAATTGAATTAAAAAATTGCATTTTACAAAAATCATCGAAATCTTTGCCCCAGCGAAAGGTCTACGCAAAATTCCGTAGCCTTCACTGATGGATTCCACTACTCTCCCTAGTTACCTCGGAAAAGCGTCAAGATTTTATGGTTTCTGAGTTTCTCGAACCTTCTGCCATATAGTTCTATACGCTTACAAGCTCTAGCACAACTCAACACAATATAAAATAACAATAGAAATGAATATGAATACAATTCTGTACTTGAGTCCAGGGCACAATATAAACTCGAGAACAAAACCGTAGCAGCGGCTGCTACCAACCGTACAACCAGGAGAATACACTTGTCGTTTACACCAGAGGCTCTCAATGCAGACACATTAGACACGTGCCATTCCTCTTCGCCAACCAAAGACCTATGGTAACACACACATATTAGAGAAAATTGAAATTTATCAGTCAGACACATTGTTTGGTTTAAGAGATTACAGTAAATATTATTACTGTTTGTTAATTTGACTAAGACGAATAATTAATTTTTGCTTAAAAAATAATACATCATTATTCATATAACAAAACAATTTGCTATTATAGTTTATATTTTTATATAATTCTAATAAATATCAATAGTCATAATTTAAATTACATATTTTCAAAAAATATGTGTCTGAAAATTGATCCCAACCTGTTTACCGCGCATTTCCGATCGACTATTAAACTTATACTTGTTTCGTGCTTTCTTTTGTACTTCAAAAATATTGATATATATTACATAGTTTATTTATTTTTTATAGATAAAAATATAACTAGTGGGGTGGGTGGCATCGTGCCTTAAGGCAAATTGCTGGAACTTCCCGCACCGTAACGAAATGTTCGAGGAATACTGAATGTTTTCAAATAGATTATTATAAATATTGTAACATTGTCTAATATTTATAAGAATTATATAAACTGAATTGCAAAATTGAATATATTTGTTTAAAGTATATTAGAACTATAGTCAGAATTAAAAATAAAATCTGAATTATTTTCGATATACAAAAAATTTAAAAAAACAAAATGTTACAATTTTTTTCCAAAATCAATTATTTTGTTAAGACAAGCAGAAAGTTCTTTGAATCAATTAAATCGGACGCTTAGTTCTCTCAAAAACTACCATTTTTTGTACATTTAGCTCCGTATCTTCGAAATGGCTGGGCCTGCATTTGTTAAAAACTAATAGCCACTTCTCCCAATCATTACTAATTGAATGTTTTTTAGTTTATTCAAATCGGATGCTCCGTTCTCTCAAAAACTCGATTTCTATTTTCTGCGCTCTTTGCTCCGTATCTCCGTGACGGCTGGACCTGCCTTTGCCAAAAACTAATCAGCACATCTCCCTATCAAGAGGAATTGAATGTTTTTTGAACTATTCAAATCGGTTGATCCGTACGCCCGAAAACGTGGACGAAAAATTGTATCCATACATACATACACACACACATCCATTTTTTCTGAGGTATGCCAAAACGTTCAGAAACCTTCAAAACGTCGAGAAATGTAAAAATTTTCAATTCCGATTTTCGGCCCATTACAATAACTTATCCTACGGGAAGTTAAAAATATGAAATTATAGAGAAAACACACGCCCGGTTAACAGATTAATAGTATGAAGGTTTACGCTTAAAGTGATAAAATAATTATATAAAATATGATATTACTTTTATCTTCTATATAGCGCGTTATAATAATATTCCAAATTGCGCAACCATCTTTCATAAAAGTCTTTTACAAAAGACAGAAAATGCAAAAATAAAAAGTCGTCGGCATATGAGTAAAAATAGGTTGAAAAACCCAGCGTTCGCGTTTTCACCCACACCGCGGGACGTTCGTGTATGTGAATGGGTCCGGTGGAGAAAAAAAATGTAAGTTCGAAAGCGCACCGACAATGTTATAGCACAATAGTATTTTAACTCTTGGGGCTTCCTTTGATATCTTTCATTGTTTAGACACGCAGTGTGTTCTTCGAATGTGACTCGGTGGTTTTATTGTTGTATTCTTATATTATTAGGCCGATACCAGACTATAAAATAATTACAAACTACAAAATTCACTTGCACTGATATTCCACCTTACAAATTCCCTGATTACTAGATGAGACACCAAGCAGATCTATTGCAAATATAATTGAAAATTGTCTCTGGGCGAATAGTATTTAGTTAAGGGGATATTCTAGTGTAGAAATTCAAAAAAGTATTTTTTTTTATATTTTAGAAGTTAGAGTATTTAAGAATATGTGTACGAGAGAATTTTTAAAAATTTATATCATTTCTGAAGATACAGCTGTTTGTTGATCTCTCATGATCTCTTTTCTGTTTCCATCCTTTTGAGAGACCTGAACCTCGTACTTCTCCCCGAAATGTCTTTTCCAGTACGATGCCCACGATTTCTCAAGTTCTACTGGACCTGAAATTTTCCAGAATTTTCTTTATAGACTTCTCTCTGGTATATACTAGTAGCCTCATCTGTAATTTTAATTTTTACTATTTTTAAAAAATTCGTGAAACTCAAAAAAGTGATTAGAAATTGATCCTGCATTTCAACAATAACATGTTTTTATAAATGGATTATGATCTGTCAGTGAACTTAACACAAAAATATTTACTAAATAAGAAATGATTTATTATTTAGACATTATTTATCGAATTATCTGATTTTGAGCCATAAATGATAAATACATTTTTTATTAAAAAATGTATAGAATCAACGAAAAAATCTACCTCAAAAGTTGTTTGAACGCCTCAAAAGTTTGCATCGTAAAAGATTTGATTGAACATCCTATAGTTGTGTTGAACATAGCAGAATCCTTGAACATCCTGAAATGGAAATTTTGAAAAGTTTTTTATTTAGCCTATTTCTTTTTGCTCTTATCTGTATAATTGACCTCACTAAACTTAGAACCTGAAAGAATTCTTTGGAATTACATATTTAAAATTTCACAAAATAATTATTTGAAATGGTATGTCTATTGTGAGATTCAGCTTATAATTTTTCATTAAAACGTGGAATAATTCCTTCTACATATATTATGCAGCATGCTTGCTTCTCTAAATATTACCCTATCAAGTTAATTCCGTTGAAACACTGTTAAATCTCTTCCCTCTGGTTTGACATGAGCCTTATATTACATTACGATCGCGATGAGGGGGCCACACGTGCGCGCTGTTGTAATGAACGATTTATAGTTTTTTGATTCGATAATCCGCCGATCTTAAGACTGAATACTAAAAAATAAAACTTGATGTTCATCGCATTTAATGAGTTTGCCAGC